GGGCGCGGCGCGCTGTGCCCGCGGCCCTCCCTGCGCCCCCCGCCTCCCCCGGGGCTGGCCGCCGGGGTGCCCCGGGGGCTCGGGGTCGGGCTCCAGGATTGCACCCCCGCGGGGCCGGGGGCCCGGAAGCAGGTGTGTCACCTGTAGGGCTGCAAGTACCTGGCTTTTACCGAGGGGGAAACTGAGGCACGGAGTTTTGGGGGGTTGTTGCCCACGGTGAGGCAGTTTGGGGGCTGGAAGCCAGGGGCCCCGAGCCAGGTCTGTGCACTTTGCCGCGACCGCAGCCACAGCCACCGCGGCAAGGCCGAGTCTGGCGGCCAGGCGACACCTGTTCGCACTGGTGAGGGTTCCCGGGAGGGCGGCGGGCGAGCGCGAGTCGGTCCAGGGCAGGAACATACTCCTAAACGGATGAGAGAGAGGAGAGAGAGGGAGAGGGAGAGAGAGAGAAGGAGCTACACCGGCTGGGATTGGGGTGGGCCTGAGGTTTTATTTTTTTAACTAAACAGACGCCCTCTACATACATTATGGTACAGACTCTGAGCGCAGACACGCTGGTCTTCTAAATATCCTTCTAGGACGGCTGAGAGAGAAAGCCCCTCTAGGCTGGCGGACCTCACCTTTGACTCACCCGACGAGCAGGCACTGAGCACCTCATCTTCCCAGCTCTGGGCCACCTGAGCATCAAGCTTTGCCTGGCCCCTCGGGGCACAGGAGGAACCCGGAGGGGGCACAGCACTGGCTCTGCGGCTTCCTAGAACCAGGTGTGCCCTTGGGCAGGTCTAAATATAGCCTTCCCGGCACACTTTCCTCCCTTATAAAATAGGGAAGGCAGTGCCTACCTCGCAGGTGCGAGAGAACTAGCGGTAACTCACCAAAAACTGACTCCTCACAGGTGCGAACGTTCTTCCCGTACTTGTGACAACCTTACAAAGCTAGTGGTCGAGCAGAATGTCTCTGTTCTGAATGGGGTTTATAGTCTAGGGAGGGAGGCAAGCAAAAACAAAAAGACAGATAAATTTAAAACAAACAAAAAACCCCAAAATACCATTAACAGACCGAGGAATGCCATGAAAAATGAAGAATTTTGGGCTGCAATATCTGGGGAAAGCCTGACTTAGGGAGGTAGGGACAACTGACAAAGCAGCAGGCACAGGCAAACGGTGACTTAGGAGAAGCCAGCTGGAGCCAGTGCAGATTGGACCTGGACCCCAAGAGCAGTGGGGAGCCCTGGTGGGGTTAAGTAACAAAACCCTTGCTGATTCCTCTCCCACACCTTGCGCCCAGCCCCAGAAACACAACCTGTTGGCTCTACTTTCAAAACAGATGCAGACTCCAGGCTCTTCTCACACCTGTGCAATCACCACGCTTGTTGGGGTCCCCTCTCACCTCCATGGGTCTCCCTTGACCCTCTTCAGCCTAGTCTCACAGCAGCCAGAGTGAGCCTGTTAAAACAAGTCAGATCACATCCCTCCTGTGCTCAAGAACCTTCTCTGGCTCCCATGCCAGTCAAAAGAGAAGCCAAAGGCCTTACGGCCCTCCTGGGCCTGATCTGGCCACACCTTTCCATTCTCTCTCCAACCTCCTCTGCACCCTCCTTCCTCTCCCTCACCCTGTTCCAGACACAATGGCCTCCTCACCGATCCTCAAACGCACTGGGCACACTCTTGCCTCAGGGCCTTTGCACTTGCTGGTCTCTCTGCTGGAACTATTTTACCCCGGCTACCCACATAGTTTACTTCCTCACATCTTCAGTTGCTCAGTCAGGCCTTCCCTGACCCCCTTTGAAAATTGTAAACCACATCCCCTCCAACAACCCACCCTTGCCGGCTCTTCCTGCTCCATTGCTCCATTTTACTTCTCTCCTTTGCGCTGACCAACATCTGACAGACTAAGTGTTTCAACGTACCTTTCTTCCCTCCACTAGAACGGAAGCTGCACGAGAATAGAGACTGTCATTTGTTTTGTTCCCTGTGTATCCCTTCAACCTAGACCAGGGCCTGGCACACAGTAGGTGCTTATAAAATGTTTGTTGAATGGCTGAGTGAAGTGAAAAGATCTGATTTACATTTATAAAAGGAGCCCTCTGGCTGCTGAGTGGGAACAAGATTGTCAGGAGGGAAGAGGGGGTGGGGGTGGCTGGGTACCACGGTAGCAGCTAGGAGAGATGGCGGCTTGGACTGGCAAGGGGTGGGGAGCTTAGGAATGATGAGAAGGAGCTGGGTTTGGGATGCTTTAGGAAGAGCAAATGGGATTCACTAAGGGCACTGGCTGCGGGGAAGAGGGGAAGGGGGCCCAGGGTGGCTCGCCATAGGGACTACGCTAGGCCTAAAGTTCAAGTCAAGTTTCTAAAGCTGAGAAGGGATACTGAAGAGCTGAAGACCCTACACTCAGTTATGCAGATGATTGAAAGTAAAATGACCCAAGAATATAAACAAACAAACATTGGGATTCTTTATTCTCAAGGAGGAAGGTGGCAAGCTTAACTGTCAGAATGGGAGACTTCAGTAAATAGAGAAGAAGGCATTTAAGTCAGGGGATGGCGGAGGCTGGCAGCAGCTCCTGGGGTGCCCTGGGGTTTCCTGTGCCAACTCTTGGGGTGTCAATTGTGGAGGGACCACCAGAGACGCCCTGAGAGGAAAGGAACTGTGTCCCCAGGTCTCCAGGCATCAGGGCAAGATCCCAGGTTGCCTGACCCCGATCCAAACTTTGAGAAAAGTCGTTTGTAAAAAACAAATGCGAGCGAATCACTGTTTTGTTCTGCAGAATTCCCACATCACAAGGGCAGTAATTTTTAGACTCTTCCCTAATGTAAGAAGCAACTGGAGAATGTGCTAAGCTTTCACTTCCCCAGAAGGCTGCCTGTCACAGCTCATCACGCCACCTAAGTTTCCTGAGGCCTCGCGTTTGGAAATGTTCACTTTCAATGTTTTCCTCAGATGCAGGTTCCATCCCAGCGAAGTAACGGGGGCTCGGCACCTGTCAGACCTCATGGTTTCCGGGGACAAGGGCTCAATTGGGGTCCATTCAGGGCCCACCGCAGGATGCCATCTCAGCCCCGTGACACTTGGGGAAAATGCCTTTTTGGTTTCTCTCCCAGGCTGGAACATGCTGACTCTGGAGAGTTATTCTGGGCACGCAGGCCTAGCCGCTGTGGGCAGAGGTGTGCCTTATGCTCCCAGCATTCCCAGCTCTCTGAGCCATGAGCATCTTCCTGATGGCAGCTCAGTGGAGGAGGACAAAGGGAATGTCTGCTGCCCGGCCCATCCCTCAGATCCCCGAGGGCCTCCCCCCCCCCCCCCCCGCAACAGCACCACCTCCTAGCAACCTGCACCAGGAGCAGGCAAGGGAAGGCAGCCACCAGCGCGTGCCGGTGGGCAGCGCAAGGCGTAGTTGGTGGCGGAGCCATGGCTTCTATGGAGACAGCTGAGGTGTGAGGGACACGGGCTGAACGTCTCCTCTGAGCCTCAGTTTCCTCATTCATAAAATGGGAATGATACCTGCTTGACGTTTTCTCTCTTAGTGCTGACGTGGACTTCATACAAGAGAAGATTCATAAAAACGTTCTGTATACTTTGAAGCCCTGCATTCATGTGAGTTATGATTCACATGGGTCCACGGCAGGGCCTGAGAGGGGTGTACCAGGCACCCCCTTGTGGTAGGCACCCCCCACACTTGCTCTTCTCCCTCTTATAGTTGCCACCCAGCCCTTGGTTTCCATCGGCCTGAGCTTCACTCCTCCTGACCTGAGGCTTGTTGTGTGACTCGGTCCCAGGGGAGAATGCCACGTGAATGTCTGGTACACCCAGCAGGGCTATTTTCAATACAGATTAAGGAATTGACATTCAGGTTTGATGTCCCCTTTTTTAGTGCTTTAAAGATACCTATAGTAGGTTGAATGGTGGCCCCCAAACAGATATGTCCATGTCCTAATCCTGGGAACCTGTGACTGTTAACGTGTTTGGTCAAAGGGTCTTTGCAGGTATAATAAGTTAAGGATCTTAAAATGAGGAGATCACCCTGGATTCTCAGGGTGGACCCTAAATCCAGTGACAATGGGCCTTAATACAGAAAGGCAGAGAGAGACCTGAGACAGAAGAAGAGAAGGCCATGTGAAGACGAAGCCAATGGAGGGAGGAGACGACAGCCCAGGAGTGCCTGGCGCCCCCAGAAGCCAGAAGAAGCAGGAAGGACCCTCCCCTGGAGCCTGCAGGGGGAGCACAGCCCTGCGACACTTTGATTTCAGACTTCTGGCCTCCAGAACCATGAGGGTAAATTTCTGCTGTTTTAAGCCCCCCAGTCTGTGGTGATTTGTTACAGCTGCCCCAGGACACCCACACAGTCCCCGGTCTTCACAAACCCACTTTACAAGGAAGGGAGCTGAGGTCAGAGGGGCAAGGACTTGTTCAGGACATCATCTCTGTTTTCATACTCTGATGGCAAAATTGAAGCAGAGACTGTGTGGCCTGCGAAGCCCAAAATATTACTATCCGGCCCTTTTCAGAAACATTTGCCCAGCCCTGCACTAGGGTGTCAGATGGTGGTACTTGTTCTAGAAAAAAATAAAGCAGGCTAAGAGGGTCAAGGGATGAGAAAGAAGGTCCTCACTGGGAAGGTGACATTAGTGCAGGGACCTGGAGGAAGGCAGGGAGGGAGCCTTGCAGCCAGCAGGGAAGGCCAGTGCAAAGGCCCTGAGGCACCGTGGGGCTGAGGGGGAAGCCCAGAGCAGAGAGAGACGAGGCGAGAGAGGAGCAGGTGGCACAGGAAGGCCAAGAGCAGAGGAAGCACGGGCTTCGCTTTCCATTTTACAGAATCTCTCTGCTACTGCGTGAGAAATAGCCTGAAGGAGGCCAGTTGAAGGGCCATTGCAATGGGCCAAGTTCAAGATGGTGGTGACCAGGATGGCAGCAGTGGAGGTGGGAAGAGGTGGTTGGACTCTGGATCTCGCTGAGAGGAGTTGAGGATGATGTCACCTGTGACCTGAGCACCTGGAAGGCTGGGGCTGCCTTTCACTCAGAGGTGAGTGCTGGTGAACAGAAGGGAAGAGACCCTGGGCTGGAGTGTGGAGTCTGCCTTGAACTTGTCCAGCCGAGATCCTGTTAGACTTCCTGGTGGAGGAGTAGAGCGGGCAGGGTCTGGGATTTAGGAAAGACGCCTGAAATGTGGGAATCTTCACTGATGGCCATGATCCCAGAGGAGCAGCTATGAAGATGAAGATTCAAGGGCTGCACGTCGGGGCCCTCCAAGCACAGAGGTAAGGAGAACCAGGGGAGGGTGGCCCCCAGAAGCCAGGGAAGAAAGCGAATGGAGGGGTAGGGCTAGGTGTGGACTGCTGCCAGACGAGTGGGCTGGGGTGGAGACTTGTCCACTGGACCTAGCAAGCGGCCTGTCACCTGTGACCTTGAGATGCTCTTTGGAAATACAAAGTGGCCCCCATGGGCCTGGCTTTTGCTAAGGACAGAGCCCATAGAACACACCTGAACGGGAAGGCTTCACAGAATTGAGGCCGAAAGCACCTTTCCCCACACCTGGATGGGAACCTGGGCAGCTGCCATACCTCTCTGGTCAGTCTCAGGTGCGATAAAGTCCATGCGTCCGCCACACCTGGTCGCTAAAACAGCCATACCTCAGGAGCTGCAATTGCAGTTCCAGTTTAACATCAAAACTAAAGTTTATTCAAAGTCACAGCATCTCCCCTCTTTCAGTTCTACTAGGCTGCTGGCAGGGAAGCCACAGGGAGGTGGGGGTGGAGGTGGCAGCTGGCCCCTGGCTTCTCCTAATTCCTGGATCTGGGAAGGAGGGAGGGAGGGACATAGGAGACAGGAAAGTGTGAGGGAGGGTACTGGTGCCCCTTTGACCCAACATGGGGCCCTGTAGTTTGGGGGGGTTCCAAATGTTGATTCTCTCACAAATACCCATATTTCTCAGATGGCGACTGATCCCTGGGACACTCGCTTTTGCCCAGTCATCCAGAAAGCACAGCCACCTACCCAGTTCCAGGGCTGGCCAGGCAGCTACAGCAACGGCTTTGACCTTTAATTTATCAGTCAAGCACCAGACACACATGTCGTCCCCGCCACATGGTCCCCTGGTTCCTTGAAGCCCCTCTTGTCAGTCAGGAGGTGAAGGGGGTGCACCTGGGAGCCTCTTCTCTCTTCTCACTCCACCCACCTCTCTTTTATACTCTCAAGGTGGGCGGTGAGCTCATTAACATGACCAGCCATCCTGGTTTGTCTGGAACTGAGGGGTTCCCAGGACATGGGACTTTCAGGGCTAAAACTGGGGAAGTCCCTGGCAGACAGGGATGAACTGGTGGCCATAGGGCTGGTAGAACCAGTCTCCCCTCTGCAGGATGCTCACCCTGAGAATGTGGGGGACAAAAGTGCAAAACAGGCCTCGTCCTGTGCCTGCCAGTTAAAAGTTAAAAATCACTCTTTGATGCATTAATGCCATTAAAATAAAAATAATGGTGGAGGAATTTTCTTAGATAAAAAGAGGCAAAAGATATCCTGACTGATCTTTTTTGAAAAATGCTTAAAAAATAACTCCGATCATATTAAGAATTATGAGTATTTTTTTTAGATATGACAAAACTATTCTGATTATGTAGGGGAGTGCTCTTAGGAGATCCAAACTATTTCAGGGCGAACCATCATATTGCCTGCAACATACTTTCAATATATTTTTGGCAAATATGGCAAAACCTTAACAAATTTTGAATCTAGGTGATGAAAATTATGGGTGGCCACTAAAAAATAAAGTTATAAACCAGGCCACAGACTGTGGGGTAAGGAGTGTTCTATCCTCCTGGCAGGACAAATACGCCTTCCTAACACCAGAAAGGCGATGCCACCTGGGACTTTTGGGAGTCCTCCGAGTTCCCTTTGGAGCACGGTGACAGAGGAGACCCAGCCCAGAACCTCCGCTTCAGGGGGGGTGGGCGGGTGGGAGGGCGAGTGCTCGCAAAGCCGATGAATTAGACCCCGGGCTGTCTTGCACCTCTCCAGCCCTTGGCCCTCAGCCCCATCTGTGCAGCGAGGCTGAGAGCTGGATACTGCGGGTGCTCCCTGCCAGAGTCCCCTCCCAGGCCAGGAAGGATCACAGTCCTTCCGTGCTTGTCGATAAGTCTCTGACCAAAGATCACTGCGGGTAGCGGGCAGAGCACGCGGCGCCTTTGATATGCCTCGAAGTCAACAAACTCAGCTGCAGACTTTTGTACCCAGACTTTGTTTTCTCCCTGCCAAGAAAGGGCGAGCCCCAGGTCTTCAGCTGCGCAATCTAAGCCAGAAGCCGCAGGGCGGGTTCCCCCAAGTCCGTTTTCGAGGTTCTCCAGGAGCGCCACTGAGCCTACGCCGCTCCTGCAATCCTCCTAACCGCCCATTCTACAGAGGAGGAAACTGAGGCCTGCGGCGGGTTGGGTAACTTGACTGAGGTCCCTCAGAAAGCAAGGCGTGGAGCTGCAGACCCCGTCGTTTCTCCTCCCCACAAGGCCCTGTGTCTTTTGGGCGGTGAGGGGGAAAGAGACTGAGGCGGGGAAGGGGAGGGCCAGAACGGCTCAGGCATCTGGGTGCTGGGGCCGTTACCGGCTCGGGCCTGCAGGGAGCCGTGCGGCCACAAGGGGGCAGCAGCACCCAGCTCTGCCAGCTTCTCCCTGGCGCTCCGTCATTACGTATGACAAAACTCGTATACCTATAATCTCATGGCTGAGACCTAACTACTGTTAGAGGAAACAGCTATTGTCAAACTGTGGAGGGGGTCTCGGAAGATGGGCCCTGCCAGAGAAACGACTGCCCACACCTGATGCTGTCAAGATAAGATAAAAGGAAAGAACGCGGCTTCCCACATCAGTGGACACAGTTCGAATGCTCACTGTACGACCTTGGCAGGTTGTTGAACCCCTGTGGACCTGTTTTCTAATTTGTGCCACTAAGGATAATAGTAGTTGCCTGGAGTGGCTGCTTTGGGGATTAAGATAACCTGGTAGAAAATATAAACTATCACTACCAGGGTGCAGAGGGCCCCAGGGCTGGGCTCCCTGATAACTGCCTGGATGAGGGTAGGTCCTCCTCGGGGCAGCGCTGCTCCTACTCCTCCTGGCCTGCTCGTGACTTGCACACTTGGGGGCCTGCATATCTGCAGGTCGTGCCAGCCACTGAGCACCCATCTCACCCCCACAGGGAGACTCTGTTATCAGTACCATGTTGAGGCTCCTTAAAGCTAAGCACGTGCCCTGGGACCACAGCCTGTGTCAGCCTCAGAGCTGGGCGGGGAGCTCTGCCCTGTGCATCGTGCACAAACCTGCACAAACCACTGCCTGAGTCACTGGTGTGGGGTCAGGGATATTAGCACCCTCCCAAATCCCTTCAACCGAGGTGGGGGCTGCTGATGGACGCTTTGACAACTGTCCTCCCCCACCCTGTCCCATCAGGAATGCAGGACTGTCGCCTGAGGAGAAGAGCTCCAGGCAGGTTATCACTGCCAGCCTGTCCTGGCCACACACACACCCCGCCCCAGTGGTTCAGGACCCTCAGCCATGGGCACGCCGATTGGTAGGCAGGAGGGATGCTGTCAGGGTTCTCCCCCACTCACCCCTTGCCAGCCCCAATAGACTGAGGAAGAGTCCAGGGAAGGTGCAAGTGGCCTGGGGCAGCCCTATGTTATGTTAGAATACAGTTGGTGTCTGCGAGGCTAACAGTTGGAGACAAAGGAGCCAAGATTAAGGGGGGAGGAAGTACTGATGGTATTAAATTAGGTTAATGGGATTTATTTATTTTATTCTGATTATAAAATTATTTCATGGTCATCGCAGAAGTTTGAAAAGGTAGGAAAGGATAAAGAAGAGAACACAAGTCATATATAATCTCATGGCTGAGATCTAACTAGTGTTGTTAGCATTTTTATGTATGTCCTCCCAGTCAGTCTTTCTTTTCTAGGCATATTCACAGAGATATTTTTAAAGTAAAACCATAGCTAGGAGTTCCTGTTTCTGGCAAAATGACAGGCCAGCTATCCAGAGGGCCCCTTTTGACGCAGAATACATAAAAATACTGGGAGCAACATTAATTTTAAAAACATTTTTTAATGTGTGGTAGACTTGGCAGGAAAATACAGGGCATCTAAGGCCAGAAATAATGTCATACTCATGTTTTTGAGGCAATTGGCAATTTGAACACGGATTATAGCAGAAAAGTGAACACTGATGGTATTAGAGCGTTATTTAAAATTTCAGGTGTGAACATGGATAGTCTGGCTATATTTTTCAAAGGGTGCTTAACATTTGGATACTGAAGTATTTTCAGATGAAATAGTATAATGTCTGGAATTTGGTTCAAAACTATATGGAGGGTGGGCCGGCC